CTATTATAAGATAAGATAATTTAATATCCAAACTTTTTGTTTATACTCTTTCGATAGATTCTTGAAGAGGTCAACACTGGTCTGGGCGTAGATAAGCCAGTTTGTAAATCCCGCTCCGGCTTATCTTGCTCGTCCACCTATGCCCTTACTTCAGTCAAAGCTGATTCTTTTTCTACAGATCCTCTTTCCATAGTTAACAAAGCAGCTTTCAATTCCCTGGACTTGGAAGTGGGAGCTAGTAGTACGAAACTTTTAAACAGGTATCAAGAGCTTCATGAGATAGTGATCCGATTAACCGCCGAAAACAAGCAATTGCGTCAGCAGTTAGAAGAAGCACAAGAGGAGATATTAACACGCTCATTGGAGGAGGGCAGATTTCTTCTAAAATTCTCCGACAAAAGCTGGGCTTCCGAAACGGATAATTGTACTCGTGAAGAGGTAACTTGCGTTCGCATTTTTAATTATTATGTATGAGACAAAAAAGCTAGATTCTTAGATTACTTTATTGAAAATGTATTCTTGTACTTAGGGGATTTATTTCCGTCTATTTGTAATATACAAATAGTCTAAGTAAGGACTATTATATATTTGATAATTGGTAAGCAAAGAAATAATCAAAATTAAAATGGGATGTTCGTTTTATTTATTTATTTCTTAAGTCAACATGTTTAGTAGATACGCATTGCCTTGTTGATTTTAATTACTAGTAAGTCGCAAATTAACAAAATTCCTAAATTTACTTTGCCCCACAATGTGAGACATTTAGACACACAAAAAATATATCCATACCTTAATTTTTATTTGAATGCCTATCACATGAAAACTTCGGTTCATTTTCCTATATTAAAATCGTTTCCTAGCTAGTCAGGTAATGAATTTCTATGCAGACGCAGTTATTTCCTTATAAGCTGGATACATTCAGTGATTGTATTATGATTTTAAACAAACGCGACCTCGTTTTCGTAACTCGGTCGTATTAGTAGAAAGACTTGGAGAAACGGACCTAGTCTGGAGTCCATTGTATGCAGGAGTCGGGCCGTGGACCTTGTACATTCCCAGACGTTTCATTGACATGCTAGTCGGCATCGCCAATGCGTCTTGCCATTCTTAGCACCACACTACAACTCGACAAAGGGACAAGTGAAGCCGATCCTTTGACCAATTGTCTGTTAAACAATCGTGGTATCTCTCCATCCCCTCTGGGATAATCGCCAATCCTATATCCTCGTATCACACCTTCACTATCAAAATTTTTACTAGCTTATTTAAATGTGGCATGGTGTGCCCTTTTGAGCGGCTTTCATTCGAACTCTCCACATTCCACGCTGGCTTTTTCACCTCCCCTTCGCCCCTATGCTAGGAATGTTCATCAGAGTATAGCATATTGTTACGCAGTCCTTCCATAGGTCTTATCAGAGTCTCACTCACCCCGCAGGATCCGTCTACGCTGGTTCAAGTATTTTACTCGAGCACTGCCACCAGATCTGTGCTACTCGATGAGCTATTTCCCACAGTCTGCATCTGGAAGGCTAACTTGAGGCTAAAGCCCCTGCGTAATTCTCATGTCAAGCCTTTGCTTCATGGACCGCGTCTATGGTAGAAAAGGCTTACGGTTAGGCAATTAGCTCTAGTCTCCGCCGCGTCTATCCTTTATCTATCCGAAATACCAAGTTTATGACTTTCTATGACCTAGTCTCTTGTGTGCAAATTCACAAATGTTCTGGTCTAACATTGAAACTAATCAAAGTAAGTCGAACCACAACATTTGTGGTTTGGCGCATAAGAGACATAAGG